TTGTAGGAATCTTATTCCTTTCAGGTCAGGTGTTTGTCATTCATGTTCAGCTAAGTGGCTTCTGGAGGTTTTTAAATATCATGTGCTTGAGATGCAACCATCCTTCATTTTACTTGCCTTTCTTTATGGAATGCCATACTTCCTTTCACCAAATATTCTCAGGGCTGTTTGATTACAGAATTCCTATATCCTGCCAAAGGCTTTTGCTGTAGGAATTTAAGGCAGGATTGTTCATGTAATTGCATGTAATTGCAATTGATAATTCTCATTTCATGCAAAGAATTAAGCTGTGCACAACCAAGTGGTAATCCTGACAAAATAATTGCTATATGGGGATAAATGCCCTTGGAGGAGAGTTGCCCATCTCTAATAGAGGAGAATATATGTAGCTCAGGGTTGAACCTTCCAGTTTTGGTGGGAGCGGGGTTTTCTCCTTGGTCGTTCCTTGATTAGGGTATTGTTTTCTGCTTGATTGTTTGTCTGGTGTCAATCCCTGCTTATCTGGGTGTCGCTGCCGGAAAGGATGCGTTCTGGTCTTTTTGTTTCCTTCTTAGCTTTTTCACTGTCTCTTTTGAATGGTGTGTCACTGGCAGGGCAAGCTGCTGTATATAAACAGGGAGCAAACCCCACAGTCGCACTGATGATGTTACCTAGTCAGGTAACGAAACACCTGCAAGCAAACCACACAGCTCAGAGAGCATCAAGGACTCCACGGTTGTCCATCTTTCCTGAGAGGTTTCTCCTTCATGTGTATATAGTATGTGTGATGGCTTTGCTCAGGTTGATCTTCTGGAACCCGAGGTGATAGCAGCTCAGTTGGCTCTTGTTTCTTGTGGGGTGGATAGTTTCTAGTTTGTTCCCGTTCTTGTTGGTCTGCTTGGGCAAATGCCTACAGAAGTTGCAGTAGCCAACCATCTGGGTGCCAGTGGCCTTGCTTTCTTGGGGCCCTGTGCAAAAGGTGAGACTGACTTGTAAGAGGCACCTGAACCTCAGGGGGCTATTTGACATATACTCAGAGCTTCCCTAAATTAGAACAAGCTTGGACCACATGTTGTGGGTATCTTAATGGTCCCCCTCATTAAGGAGGTTCATCTGGCGGGACTGAGAAAAAAGGCCTTCTCCATGATGGCTCCCTTCCTATGGAACATCATACCTCAGGAGATAAGACTGGCTTCCACCTTGGTACTCTTCCAAAAGGCCCTGAAGACGTGGTTTTGCCAGCAGGCCTGGGGGTCCCAGGTAGATACGGAGCCCATTAAATGGCTTGTCTGAATGTGTTGTTGTTGCCAGGGGGGTGGAGGGTGTACAGGGTTTTGTATTTGGGGTTTGCTTTCTGTAAGCCTCCCGGAGTCACCATGTGTGAGTTGGGTGGTCATGTAAATTTGCTAAATAAATAAATAAATCTAAAGTGAGGAATTTTGTAAGGCTCTAGTAAGACTCTGTGTGTGTTTGTGTGCCTGTGTGTGGGGAGAGAGAGAGGATGTATAAAGCAAGCAGGGTGTCAAATGCTAGATGTTGAAATGATGCAAAATTGGTGCCATAGGGTAGTCTCTGTTGCTTGAATGTCTGAAGCCAACTTACAGAACGTGAGCAAGGATGGGCTTTATCTGGCAAGCCACCCTGAGTTGAAAGAACACTCCTTTTATTATTTGCAGGGCAAGGTATTATGGCTTCATGAACAAATAGAAGCAAGGATCTTCATATTCAGGCAAACTTTTCCAGTTGCATTTTAGTGGCTGCATTTGAGTGTCTGCTAAGGCAGAATTCTGGGGAATGTGGTGGGCTGTTTTGAGTTGCTGGGGAGGCTGTTGGAGGGGAGCACCCGCCACAGCCAAGCTGCCAGGCCTTCTGTCCCTGGGAATGGCCAATGTGAAGCGTCTGTGAGGGCGTTCTGGCCTGCAGCGCAGTCGGAGGCGTCAGTTTGGGCTTCTCCCTGTCCCTGGAGAGGGTCCTTTCCTGCTCTCCGAAGCCTGCCTACAGGGTGGCCTCGTTAAGGGCTGATCCGCTTAGCTGGCCTGCTGAAGCTGGCTCTTGCCTCCCTCTGGGCTTCAGCCCCTCCTCATTAAGCTGGTTGGGGCTATTGATTGGGCATTTGTGTTTGGAAGAGTCTTACTTACTCCATGCATTATCTTGACAGATTGATCAGACCTGATTGAGAACCTCTTAAAGGAACGAACAGCTATAATGGGAAAGTTGGACTCTGTCATCCGTTAGGGTGATTCTGGAGCGAGAGGAACAAGGCTGACATCTTGGAGCAATTGTATTTACAATTAACATGGCTGAAAACGATTGCCTCTATTGATCCCCCCTTCCTGCAATTACAGCCCCATTGTTTACATTCCAGCACTTCAGTTATAAAAAGGAAATTCAATAATTATTGCATTATTTAAAGTTAAAGTGCCACAGAGTTTGCTGGCTGTGCTTGCTGCTTGATTTAACATTCCGTAAAATCTATGCTGAGCTTTCCATCTTGAGGTTGAGCAATATAGGCTTTTAATGAGGCTTAGAGGGTGGAGCAAAATCCCGCCAGCCAGTTACCTGTGGGGGAGTAGGAGAGGGATTCAAATCCAACTCTGGGCGCGTGTGGGTGTGCGAGGCGTGGCATGAGCACCGGAAGGAAGGAGTGTGGCCAGCAGCACTGGTCTGGGAGGGGCCCGCTATTTGGGGGAAGGGCTTGCCTGTGAATACCCTGCTCTGCTGCTAGGGGTCAGCCGTTCTACCTGGGAGCTGGGGGGGGCCTCTAGCTTGCTGCCCGCTGGGTACAGAAGGAACCCAGCCTCGGGGGAGATTGAGGAACTGCCGCCTGTAACAAGCGGGCCACCTTGCAACGGCTGCTTCTGTAATCTAGGGCCCTGTCTCCCCTCTTAAGAGGGCCACTTGTTAGAGAATCACAGCAGTGGTCTCTGGGCTGCAGCTGGCCACGCTCTTCTGCTTGCAGGCTCCCGGCCCTCCCTTTCTCTGCTTTCTTCTGAGTGACATAGACTGGCACGAGACCACTTTTTATACAGATATACAAAATGGAAGATGAAAACTAATACAAACTAGTATAAAGTAAGAAAAAGAAAATCAAAGAGAAGGCTGAAAGTGCAAGAAAGGAAAAGAAGTAAAAGAAAAATAGAAAAGGAAGAAAAAAGATGCAAAGAGGTAGCTCCCGATCTTTGCAGCAGTTAAAAGTACAATGATAAATTTACCTCTTACTCTATGGTTACAATAGAGCTCTCTTCTTTCTATAATCTATCCCATCTAATCTTCAAAGCCATAAATCGTAAGTTCGTTTTTTCCTGTTTCACGCAAAAAGCCTGTAAGGGGCTAGCATGAGACCACTCTGATGATGTGAAAGAGCAAAGGTGCCTTGCACCAAGCAGGCCATGAATTTGACATCTGATCTGAGGCAGAAAATCACTCTTCCAGGCAGTAAGAATGCAACCTTCATCCCTGTCCATTTCAAGCTCTTTCGCGATAACCACTATTACTTTTCTGAAATCACTGCTTCCCCCTGCCTCGTGGTGGGGATGGCCCTGAGACGTTGGTAAAACCCCCTCTCTCGCCAGGGCTTTGTTGCCTCCGAATTCCGCCTTCTCTGCCTTTCCTGCCCCTTGGGGTGTGGCTCAGTGATGGGAGGCGATAGCCATTTTGATCCCACCCTTCCGGGAACATCAGGTGGTGTGCAGAGGGACTTGAGCGAGCGGCTGGGCAGGTCACCCCTGCCCTGGACCAGAATCTCTCTTAGATGAGTGGTCCTGAGGGGTACAGGGTGGTTTGCAGAAATGCCATTCGTATCAGGCTGGGCTTCTGTCTGATCCAGCTCGGAGAGTGAAGTGATCAGGATTTTACATTCCAGGTGTGAAGAGCTGGCTCTTGGGAACTTCTTACCGGAAGCTTCCCGGGAGGAAGCCGCTGTGGCCCCTCCAGATTCAAGAAAGTACTCAGTATGTCCTGTCGAAATTTGCTTGGCATTTCCTAATAACGAGCAACAGGCACAGGTTCTTTGGGTGGGATTCTTTTGTAATGATACAGCAGTTTTAGTTGTTTCCAAGTAGAGTTTAATCCAGAGGAGCAGGGATGCAGCTGTCTTCTAGTGGAGAATTGTTGATTTCTTTTTTACTTGCTCATTTCCCCAAAAGACAGCCTGCATAATTTTGTGTATGGCGTGTGCACACAAAACTAGCACTTGACGACAACAAGCCTGCTTCTCGCCCACCTTGCTTCAGTAGGCTGCTGACTGGAGCCCACGGGCTCAGAAGAATGATGGGCTAAGAAGCCTGGCCTTGGGGACACAGCTTCTGGGCTGGAGGAGCAGCACGATGGGCCGCTCGAGGCGGAGTGCCTGTGCCAACAAGGGGAGCAGCAAGGAGGCTGGAGGCAGAGAAGTGCGAAGCATCTCTTTCTCCCCCTCTTCTCTTCCGTCTGAGCCTTTGCTTCCATGCTTCCTTCTCATGCGTGTGTGTTTCAAGAGCTTGATCCAAAGATGAATGGTCTGCTTTGAAAGTGGGTGGATCTGAAACCAGCCAGGCTCTTCCCTAGGAACTGGTTGTTTCACTGGAGGAATAAAGTAATCCTGGACCACAGACTCTGTTTTCTCAATCAGGCAGCTATTAAGGTGCCAGTATGCCCTCTTGGATGTGTTGTAATGGAACAGCAGCATTATCCTGCTGAGAGATCTCAGAGAACTCATATATGCATTGGTATGCATGAGCATATATGTCACTTCAGCATGAGTTTGAAAGTGAATATCCCAGGAAGTCAGTTGAAATGAGAAGTCTTACCTCTTGCTTGCCTCGAAGATGCCAGAGTTCTTCCCAAGATACTCTTGCAGAGCTAAGAGGGGAAAAGGTCCTCTTAGGTTCTGGTCCTTTTTGGCTGTCTATAGTTCCCCTGGGCTTTGGCCTTTAAGGCCAGATAATTGTTTGAAGTTCAGATCCAGATTGCAGAAGGAGCCAAACTGTTCCTCTGAGCAGGTCCTGTTTCTCATTTCTCCCTCCTTTTGCTTCTCTCTGCAGCACCTTCAGTACCATGAGAGTGGAGTGGAGGGGGAAGGTTGTTTTTACCATTGTGTCCTCTGCAACTACTCCACCAAGGCCAAGCTAAATCTCATTCAGCACGTTCGTTCCATGAAGCATCAGCGGAGTGAGAGTTTGCGGAAGTTGCAGCGCTTGCAGAAGAACCTTCCTGAGGAAGAGGAGGACCTGGGCCAGATCTTCACCATCCAGAAATGCCCCACGACTGACACTGGTGAGTGGCACTCTTAGCCAGCAGATCACATTCATGCTCTCGCCCTTTGTGGTGGGATTCCAGTGGCATGTGGGTTTCTCTTAGTCAGCATCTGAAGGCAAGGAGCTAATGTATCTCCCTTTAGCATTGCACGTGGCTGAAACTGTGCATAGATTTGTGATCTGGCTAAGGCCACTGACCTCCCGTCCTCTCTCTGGGGCCCAAGTGGGTCTGTTGGAGGGAGTGTGACTCTGGCAGCCAGTGGCTTTCAAAGAAAGGTCTTACCTGCTCTCTGTGTTTCGAGATTGGATGGATACAATGTGCCTCTCCTGCACATTGCCCTAGGAAGAAGGAGGTCCTGTTGAAGGTGCTAAACACCATCCCTTGGCCACAGGTCCAGCTTGGTGGAGAAAACCAGCTTTGTGCTAATATGCCTTTTGCAGGCCTCGTTGCCAGGGATGATAAGGATGGCTTAGGTTCATCTGTAGAAGCAAGAGTGCGTGAGAGAGGGCCCATTGCCGCTTAGCCTTCTAAGCAGCTGCTAGGGAAGGTGTATGCAGCCCACAGGCTTTTGATCCTTTCCCAAGAGAAATCAGATTTCCAAATGAGATGCATCAAGAAGTTCAATCAGCAGGAAGACAAAAAGAAATGGTGAGTGGGAATTTGGGAATACTTTGGGAATTATTTAGTATCTTGCCATAAAATTAAGGAGAAGTGAGGTTATCTTGCTGGGGGTGCTTATTTTAAGGCTGCCCTCATACTGGCCTCTCCTCTGCCCTGCCCTGCCTGCCTGCCTGCCTGCCTGCTTAAGTGGGGGGAACAAAAAGGGTGGAAGCTACTGAGAGGAACAGCCTGCCCCCTGAAGTTGCGAGTGCTCCCTCCCTGGAGGTTCTCAAGGAAAGGCTGCACAGCCATTTGTCCGGAACAGCATGAGGCCCTCTCGGTTGGCCGGCTATCTAAATGGGAGCTGCAGTGTTCTCTTCTCTCCCCCTCCAACCCTTTAAATAGTCTTTCTGTACCACTTAGGCTACAATCCTTTCTTTCTCAGCTCTCCCTCTTGCTGCAAAGGATCCAGTCTGCTGTAGTGGACATAATCATGGTTAGTTTAACTATGATTTACTCAATTGACCCAATTCCAGGCACACAGTTGGGTTTGCCCAACAGATAAGATTAAAGGGTGCTTGGGTAGCTGTGTTCCCTGTTCCCAGTGCAGTTTTTCACTGTCCTTTCCTCCCACCAGTGGTTTCCTTCTTGCCAGGGCTTTGCACAAGACACCCCCCCCCCCCCACGTGCTCAAAGCAGCTTTTTCCAGCCTTCTTACAGGGGTATCCATCTAATATCCCTTTGGGCTTTTCTGCCACCAAGGGGGAGGGATGCTCTGTCACACAGGAGTGCTGTTCCTTTCAGAATTACCCGAAATATTAGCCCCTTGCGCTTCTGAAGAGTTGGTCTTTGCTTAGCCCAGGCAGCCTTGTGGCTGTGAGAGAAGGAGAGACAGTTGAGAAGCTCCTCCTGGGGGGCCAGAGACAGCCACGCCTGGCTGTGCCCAGCACTCCAGCGGCTGAGCAGAGGGGGGTCCGCAAGAGCCGCGTCTCAATTGGCGAGTCCTCCGCTTGGTCTGTTGACCTCCTTTGGGATTCTCTCCCCCTGTAGTTGTCTGTTTTAGCCTTGAAGTTTCTTGATGCAGAGAAAACATTTGACAAAGTAAATAGACTTGAATTATGGAATGTTTTGCATGAATATGGATTTGAAAGGTGATTGCTGAATGTGGTAAGAATGGTATATGATGGAAGTAAAATATGCATGAAAACAAATGGGATGCTTAGCAGATGGTCCAGGACTGAGCAGGCAGTGGATAAGCAAGGTGATAATTCCCCTTTGTTGTTTAATACATTGATGGCTGTGTATAAGGAATACTTTTAGCGATGTTACTTTTGAATGCAGACAATGCCATGTGGGTGGTTGAAAACCCAAACATTTTGTAGCATGTGTTAGAAAGGCCATTTCATGCAACAAGAAGAATCGATTTGAACATTAATATATCGAAGACCAGGATATTTGTGTTTAAGAGGAAAATGAGACATATTTGTGTACTTTGGTAGAATATTTACTAAAGAGGGGAAATGTTATGACATAAACATGCTGGTAGAAATTAATTGGTGGTTTGTGATTGTTTGCAAGGAATTAAAGTTTGTAAGTGAAGATGCCTGGGTGTAAGAGCCCACTTGTAAAGAGCCCCCTTTGTTATACCGAAGTGAGAACTGAAGAGGACTCGAGAAGTTCACCGCAGTGGAAACGGGGTCCTTAAGAAGCATCTGTGTGACACAGGGAGACCACGGGTCCAGCATATGAGGGTGCTGAATGAACGTGGGTTGGATGCAAAAGTGAGGGACCGGACCGGGAGGAGAGGACTAGCGTTTGATTGTACAGAGAGAGTGAGCGAAGATCAAACTGCAAAACAACCATGAAAAGAAAAATGAGTGGGTTGGGAGGAAGGCGAGGACCCAGAGAGTTATGTTGGGGTGAAGCAGAAGAGATCCTAGAAAGGCGAAAGGTTGAAAGTTTACAGCACCAAAGGCAACCTATGCACTGGTCAAAGCATGGATGGTTTGCCAAGACAGAAAAGGTACAAAGAGATATAAAGTGAATGTTGTTCACGTAGAATCATTTTGGTTGTGTCTGCTTTCCTCGTCCTGCTATTTTTTACTTCTTTTCTGTGATCATGTAAACACGGTTTACCCCAAAAGGCATGGCGTGGTCGGTATGTCTGTATGTCTGTATGTCAGTTGGTACTGTTACGCATTTTTCGGTGTTTTCTTTCTGTTTTGAACTTGCTCAGCAGTACATTCAGGCTCACAGTGCAAACCTGGTTTCTGTCCAGGAGTCTTCGCCTAAGGCCAGTCCCTAGAAGCTGACGTTGCTGCCTGGAGCAGGAGGGGTGGGCTTCCACGGGAGGCTTTCCGCTAACGGCACCCGTGCCCAGACTCGGCCCTGCCTGAGCTGGGGTTCCTTTTTGCCTTGCGGGTTGCACAGAAGCCCCCGGGGATCCAGGGAAGGTGTTGGGTGGCTTTCCGGGGCTGCATGCTTGAAGCAGGACTGGGAAAGTGAAGGAACTTCACCGTGTGAACCCCTGAATTTGTTGGCTGGAGCCTGGCACTCCCCGGGAGGAAATTCCAGAGAGCTCCTCCCTTACCTGCTGTCTGCCTGATACAGAATTGGGGGGGCGGGGGAGAGAAGAGGGTGGCAGGAGGGAAAGCAGGATTCCCACTTGTGAGGCGCTTCCCCTCCTCCCCAGCTGTTTTCTCCTCTCGCCCGTCCTCGCTGGGGTGAGAGCCAGAGTTCCGCTGCCCGGGAAGTCTCGGCTCTGCACGGCTCTCGCTTTCTCCACTCGTGTTGGATGAGCCTCCTTCGTCCTCGGCGCTGGGCAAGAGTGCTGCCTGGCAGCCCCAGCCCTGGGCCCTCGTCCACAAGTCACACCACCCAGGTGAGGGAGGCCCCCGGTCCGCCGCCTCGGGCTGAGCAGGGGGAGCCTGAGGGGCGGCCAGCACAGTGTCCCAGGCCCAAGGAAGGGGCAGGAGCGGCCACCAGCCTGAGGAGTGGCGGCCCCAGTCTGCGCCACCAGCGGCTCCCGTTGAGCGGCAAGAGAGGAAGCAGGGCCCTTGGCTTGCTCCAGAAGGTTTTCCTGGTTCAGCTGAATCTGCCACCCAGACAGAAAGCCAGCTGCCCGATTTCGGGGCCGGAAAACCTAGCGGTGGGTGGGGGGTCCCTCTGCTGGCCACTGCAGTGCAGGTCTTTGCCGAGACGGGTTCCTCTCCCTGTTGGGCTTGGGCTGAAGTGGGAAGACAAGTGGGGAAGGGGGGGAAGGGGAGTAGACCCTGCTCCTTTCTGTTTAGGAGGCTGTTCCCTGTTCAGCGCAGTGCCTGCCTTCCTGCCAAACAGTGCCCAGGAAATAACACAAATAACAGCCTGGGGGGGGGAAAGAATAACCACAGAAAGGGACCTTTCCAAAGATAAGAATGAACCAGGCATATCTGTTAAGATAGCCACTTACCTGAAACTCCTGCATAATTACAGCACGTGGCTCTGTAAACACCACTGCGTGCCCCTCTCAGCTCCCAGGCCAAACGGCAACGCTGCGGGCCTCTCAGAGGTGAAGCACAGAATGAGACAGAGGTGGCGGGATGTCCAGGCCCCGGAAAGGAGGAGAGGCCGGCTGCTGTAAGGAAGGTTGGGCCGTCGAAACTGGGCAGAAGAAAACAAACAAGGCATTTGGGGTGATTTAAGTCGTTGATGGTTCATCCTGTGAGCCTCCCTAACTTCTGCCTACCAGGGATCAGGGCATCCACGGGACATCTGTACAGAGCAGTCGGTGCTGCAGCGAAGGAAGCCCCCTCCCCTTAATTGTGTGCTCAGACAGATTTATGGAGAGAGCTTGAAGGTGCCATCCATGTCTCCCTGCCCTGAGGTTTGACAGCCTCTCTCCTCCTCTTCCCACTTCGAATGGCCGGCTGTGGCTTCTGGGCCCTTCCTCCTTGGCTGGCCACTGTGCCTGATTTCTCTGCTCTCAGCTGCTTGCTGGGCTGCGGCCTTTGTGGCCAGGCAGGAGTCTTGGTCCCAGCCTGCTTGTGCAGAAGGCAGCGGGCCTGTTCCCTTCCACTGGTGCAGCTGCCTCAGTCTTCCAGGCCACTGCCCAGACCCTGCGTGGGCGAGAGAGCGAGCCCCTTTGGCTGTGCCTGGGAGAAGGGGCAGTGGAGGGGGAGAAGGGCATTGGGGCTTGGGCTGGGGCAGGGGCTCGGCCTCTAGGGTGGTTGGAAGGGGTGCACCACAGCTGAGGCTGTGCCCTCTCCTCACAGCGTGTATCTCAGGGACCGTTTGGCTGGTTTTTCCTCAAGCAGGCATGAAGACCGTAGGGGGCAGGAAAGGGTGGCAGTGCACATCAGCCATTAGCCAGGGGAGACCTTGAGGCTGCCCCTGCTGTAGAGGCCCTCTGGGGAGTCCTTGTTGGGCAGACGGGCCGGCCG